TTATTATTATTATTATTATTATTATTATTATTATGACTGTTGTTGTGAAACCAAGGACTCAGAGAGAGAGAAATGCAGGGATTTTTACCATTTTATTGCTTAGTTATTTGCCCATTTGGTTGGCGAAAAATCTTCTTTACTCAGTTTCTTCTTTTAGTGGTTTGGTCTTTTTAATACCTTTTAAAGTCCAAACCCTCAGAACCACGTCCCCCGACGTGACGTCTGTCTAAGTCACACAGGTTTAGGTCTTTCAGCCTGTCCTCATTCTGAAGCACACTCCTTTAAGTCCTGGAATAAATCTTTTTGCTGTTCCCCTGAACTCTTAATCTTCCTCATATATCTTCTGAAGACTAAACATAATCACAATTTCTCAAGCAATGTCCAAGCAGGAGGCACATCACACAGACTGCTTTGTGTTCCAGTAAAGCCACACCCACTGGGTTCTACAGTTGCTCCTCAGCGTTGATCTGAAGTCTTAATATCTACAATAGCTCCCAATGAAGCAGTTTAACCTGAATGTTTTTTTTACAGGGAGATCAATGAATAATTAATTAATATTTAATTTGTAATTTAAACGCAGTATCAAAGACACATTAAGTAATAGTCAATAGGCTATTAATAGGTATTTGATTTAAAGCAAATAAAAAGGAGAATTAAACGTCATCAAGATAACTATTGCAAGGCAACATATACAGTATCTGTCTATGTGTTCATATCTTAAAAAAGTTTCCTCAACAGCACTGACTTCTGGAAAGATTTAAAGGTAGATTTTAAGGACCTTATTCTGGTTGTGCTGAAAACCAGGTTTAAGGGCAAAGCACAGATGAACATAGGATTTGTGTATGGGTTTGTGGAAATGCTGCCCATGGAAACTATGCATATATCCATCTTATCCATTTATACATTTTCTAACCTCTGTATCCAGTACAGGGTTGTGTGGCAGCCACAGACTATCCTGGCAAGTAACAGGCCAGGGTACACCCTGGATGGGATGCCAGTCCATCACATGGCAGACAGACACAGACACACACACTCACACCAGGGCCAGTTTTCCCAGAGGTTAATTTAGCCACCATAATGTAATTGGACTGTAGAAGGA